TAGACCCTCACTCTGCCGCATGTATGAAGGTAAAGTGCTCGTAAGATGGCGGTATATTTCTCTGGCACCCCGTTCTTTAGTAAGCAACGCCATAAAGCAGGACGATCAACGGAGTCAAAAGCGGCACGTATGTCTAGAAATGCAATGATAGTGGGCCTGTGATAAATGTGGCGATGTTCGAGGAGCTGGCGGAGCGTGAAGATTTGATCCACACATCCGCGGCCAGGACGGAAACCAGCTTGTTCTTCACGGTAGTATGATTCACGTACTGGGGATAGCCTGCGAAGCAGAATGGATGCCAATAGTTTAGAGGCAACCGAAATAAGACTAATCCCGCGATGATTTGCACATGAAGTGCGAGCGCCTTTCTTGAAAATCGGGATAATGACTGATTCTCCCCAAGAGGAAGGCACTTTCTCTTCATGCCAAATTTTTGCGAACAGCGCGGTCAGCTGGTTAATGATCGCCACACCGCCGTACTTGAATAGCTCCGGAGGAAGTCCGTCTAATCCGGCAGCCTTGAAGCGCTTCAAGCGTCGAATCTCAAGGCCGACTTCCGCTTCGCTGGGTGGATTCAGAGGGACGAGCCAGGGTGGACAACAACGTGTACTGCATGTACTGATGGATGGTGGAGGCCAGTTGAACTGCGAGTGAAAGTGCTCGGCCCAACGGTCCATACGCCTCTGTTGGTTGGTGATCGGAGACTCATCCACCTCACAAATGACCTCACTGACACCAGGTTTCCTGAGGCCAGTGGACCGAATGAGTTGGAAAAGCCTGCGAGTGTTGCCAGAGAGGGCAGCGGTCTCCATCTCTAAAGCACGTTCAGACCACCATGTCTCGCGATCCTTGCGTAGGCTTTGCTTGAGCAGCCGGTTGGCAGAACGGCGCCGCTCGTTGCAATCTGATTCCGCGGGTATATCTTTGCGGCGTTCGAACAGCTCCAGAGAACGAGCAGAGATCCAAGCCTTCAATGGGCGTCGAGTTAGGCCACAGCATGACTGTCCGGAAATGGTCATTGCCTTCCGTATACAAGTCCAGTGTTGTTCCACTTCTTGCGGTGGATTGCAACTGAGTGCATATGCCAATGAAGACTGATAGCTCGTCTGGACAGAGGAATCAGTTAATCTGTTTACATCAATCTTGCGGTGCTTCGTGCTTCGGGATCCTCCAAAACACATACAAATTTTCGCGCAGACCAGAGCATGATCTGAGTCAACGAATGTGGACCAAAAGGACCTGCAGTCTAGTACGCTGCCGCGCCATCTGAAGCTAATTGCAATGTGATCAATTTGAGACCACGGTTGTGTTGAAGAAGGGGGACGCCACGTTGCGGAACGCTTCTTCGTACGCCTGAAGTTAGTGCTCGAAAGAAACAGACGGTTGTCTTCGCACAATGTGAGAAGTCTCTCTCCGTTATCAGAGCGGTTCTCATCGAGCGCGTGATGACCACCAAGGTGGCGTTCGTATGGTAACAGGCGGCCAACCCGTGCATTAAAATCCCCAGCAAGGATAACGACATCCGACTTTTTAGCATTAGTCAAGAGTTGTTGTAGATCCCGATAGAATTCGTCCTTGACCGAGTCGCCACTGCAGTCAGTTGGAGCGTACACAGAGATCACAAACAAGTTGCGTCTCTCTTCGCGGTGCCTGTTGATTCTACACGAACCCCGAAGCCGAACTGCACATAATCGGCTGTTAATAGGGAACCAGTCCAGTAGTGCCGCCTCGGCCTTGTCACTTAGTGCTATACCTACACCAGCCAGACCCGCTGAGGCTGCTTCTGGATCTCCAGAAAGACGCAGGTGATATCTGGCTTCGTGGTCAGTGGGGGATGTCAGTGTAAGCACAGTGCTGGGATCTTGCAATCGGGTTTCTGAAAGGCAGCAGACATCAATGTCTAGGGACTCTAGAGTGCGCGCTAGACCGGCTTGCTGTCCAATCTGCATGAGTGTCCGAACGTTGAAGCACGCCAGACGGAACGAGGATCGGGGACGAAGGAGAGCCACGGGTTGAACCTCTTGGTCTGCGGCGCAACCGGAATCGCAGCCAGATTGCTGAGCACATGAATCGGGTAAGGGAAAATGAGGATTGTGAACAAACAAACAATTGGCGTGTGCTGAAGTCGCGTGAAAGTGACTAGCAGAAACAGCAGCTGATGAGCAAGTTGTAATACAGTCCATGGTTTTGCGAGAGGGCGTGATACTACCCGGTTGCCCAAGCCGAAGTAGGGAGTTGACTTAGGGGACTCCACCCCGAGCCTTTGGCTAAATAACCTACCCGCAAGGCAGCGGGGCGAATTTAGGGAATCGCGCCCATTGGGAGGCGTTGACTGAATGTTCAGTTCATGCGTCTTTGTTTGGTAGATTACCAAACAGGGGCCCAATACTCCCCATATAGTCAGCACACCTGCTGGAATACAATGTCCCACCGAGGTGGAACATTGTCGCCGAACACTTTGCTGGAACGGGGTACACCCGAACCACCCAGCTGGCACCACGAGGAGGTAGTTCGGCCAGCCAGCCCAGCAGTGCTATACTGACACAGGAGATGGTCAATCACGGCAAGCCATCGTCACCCTTCAATATTTCCAGCGGTGTAGGACAACGATGCCCGCTGTCACCTTTCCTCTTCAACTTCGCCATTGAGGAAGTCATAGAAAACGCGTTCATAGGACAAGATTTAGGTGTGGCGCTGCTCCAAGCAGAACGACTTCTTGACTCGGAGTATGCTGACGATATTGACTTCAACTGTGACAGCTCCCAAACGTGCCAAGATGCACTGGACAGACCAGTAGTCGTTGTCACCCGTTTCGGGCTATGCTTTACACCCTCGAAGTGCAAAGCTTTACTTCAAGATTGGCAGGGACCGCCTCTTGCGCTGACCTTTGGAGAGGATCAGCCAGAAGTGGTTCCAAGTTCAACTATCTTGGTAGTTGTATCAGCGCCGTTAGAATTGGAGACGAGGTCACAAACCGTACATCAAAAGCTCGAGGCGCTTTTGCTAACTTTCGCCACCTATGGCACTGGCACGACATCAATCTCTCCCTGAAGGGTAGAGTATACAATGCAGTTGTACATTCGACCCTACTGCACAGTTGTGAAATCTGGCTAGTTACGTTCGACCACCGGTGCCTTCACAGTTTAGCCCACATCTAGTGGGAACACCGTGTGAGCATTGAGCGTGTTCGACGTTTTGTTTATGGCGCAGGAAGAAAAAGCGAACCGCTCAGCACCGTTATTTCACGCACAAGACTCCGATGGCGGGGACACGTGTTGAGCAAACCAGCCCACCGACTTCCGCGATGTGCGGTGTTTGCACGCCGCGGGAGCGTATGGAAGGAGAGGTGGCCAAGCGATGAGTTGGTCAAGAGGAATGAAGACCCTTACTCCGAAGTGGGCCTCGGTTGAAACCTCTCGGTTCCCAGGTTGAGGACCGAGGGACGATGAACACGTTTGGTTGGATACATTTGTTGACATGGCAAGGAGCAAACATCAATGGCGTTTGTGTTGTGAGTTCCTTTGTCCAGCCCCTCCCGCTTAGCCTCCCCGCCAAGCACGATCTTAATTAATAGGCATGATAGGACTTTTTGCGGCTGTTAACTATCCGGAACGATGTCCATTAGTTACTGGTGACTCTGCTGGCATGCCACATTTTCATGTGTTTTCTTTTGTATTGCGGCATCATAGGTGAGGCATTTTCCACCTGCAACTGTGTGTATAGTGATGAGTCACGTGCAACACTCCAGAACACTCCAGAATGTATGGAATCAATACGGTAAGCAAGAAAAATCGATTAACTGCTGAAATAATGGTTGTTACGAGAAATTCTTACCTTCCGGACAGCATCCACCGCAATTTGGTTGCGCAGCTGAACTGAACCGAGCACGGAAGTTGTAAGTGCAGTGTAACGTTATGTATAGTATGCGTGCTCCAAAGACACAGCAAGAGATCACATAGTAGTTGTTGACTAATGCGAGAGATTTGTGAAGTTGAAAAACAAAGCGAAATGAGACCTGCAGTTTAAATGAGGAGTTAGCTTGACCGTCAGCATGGCTAACGGAGTTGAAATAATTTGTCACTGATTATTTGAGAAGAGCTTTGAGGGGGAAGTGGAGGTAAAAAGGGAAAGAAAACTGCTGGCGAAATGCGGCGTACCCTAAGGCGGAATACATGACACCGTCAAGCAGGGGGCTTGCAAACCTCAAATCAATATAGCTCCAGGAGTCTGAAGCGATTGAAGACAAGATTATACCCTGACACTAGTTGCTGAGTCACAGTAGGATGGTGAAATAGGCGACACATTGTAAATCAGATCAAGTGATCAGTGCAATAAAACGAAGAAATATCATAATGGATGGGCCAATAAAAAATAAGTAGAGAAAACATGCCACAAGATGTTTAACTGCTGGCAGTTTACAATGAGAGTCAAACACCTTAAATGATAAGTCTATCACTAAGCATCTGGCTGCAGAAGCAATTCAGTACATGTCCCAATAGGTCCGCCAAAGCATCAGTTGATGCGATCCCATGTAAAGTGATCAGGTCTTGTCAGCCGGCAGTGCTATGGGAAAAGCGCCTGTCTCCAACCAACAAAAATACATCAATGTATAAGTAGAAAAGATAATGCAGAGCGCAACATAAACGCAACAATTATATTATGAATCGCGGGTAGATGAATTGGACACCACAAATATGAGTGGCCAAGAACGATGATATTAGTGGCATTTAGATGCATTTGGTCGGTGTTGCGGAAATGTGCAACAAGATTAGAGGAACCTACGGATTATGCGCATCCCCCCCTGAGATTGCAGCAAAGTTACCGAAAAGAAAGCATTCAGATGTAATTACTAGATGACTTAGAGAAGACTACATCGGGAAACGTAAACCATACAGGATTCCGACCTCCACACAGCCAACAGCTGTGATTGATAGGAAGGAACTTCGATGTATCGCGAAACGACAAACAAGTAAATGGAAAATATCGAAAGACAAACTCACCATCTTCGAGGTCATCATGGGAAAAACTCGGATACAAGCGACACAAAATACTTTCAGCGTCGTTGTCGTAATCCTAATGGAGACATAAGTTGGGTTCGAGAAAAGAAGGCATACTCTCTCAAAGTCACCACGAGCTGGCATGTATCCGAGAAGCTGTTGATCTTCGATTTCCACATCAACTGTAGGAGAGGTTTGAAGAAATGATGGTGAAAGGTGTAGAGATTGATTCGTGTGGTCGGTGACTCTAGAGGTGTGATCGTCACCTTTCAAATCGCGACCCAAGATACTGTTCAAGTAGTAGTCACAGTAATGCTGCATGCATTCGGTTGGGCTCCGGGTTTCAACCTTCAGCGAAGCATCTTCCCTTTAAAGAAGAGAGGTGTAAAATTCAGTGTTAGCGAATAATTTACCAATTCCCAACCCCATAATGCTCCAGTGCATCAAGTAAGTGGCGCTCTTCGTCCGCGGTCCAGCCCCCAAAAATAGACCAGGTAACGCCCTGGGCAGTCGTCTGCGGCAAGCCATGAAACAAGAGTAAACGAAGAAACCACCTCGATGGAGTAACCATGAATTTTCTTATGGGTTCCAGCCTCAGCACCACTGCAATAGCACTTCAAAAAAGAGTATATTGAAAAGACGATATGCATACGAGCAAGCACAGTAGTATTCTGGGGCATTCGGAGCATTTAAAGTATACGCCTTTAACTTTTTGAAGACAGTAAGTGCACTCGTTAACGTTGGAACTCATTGGCCTAAAAAAGTGAAGTGAAAGCAATTCCAAAATAAACGTTGGTGAAATAACTAAGCAAGATATATCCATCGAGAGTAGTGAACAGCTCAAAACCGAATGCAGGTTCAAGGATTAAACACGATTTATGCACCGACCAGTGGTTGATCCGGTTGCGTTTACTCATAAGAAACAATGAAAGTGGAGGAGAACAAAGAAAGGTAAAAACACTAGATGTGGTGTTCAATGGCAAGAAATAGGACGAATGCAAAAACGTTGTGGCTGCATCAAATAGAACAACTTAGCCAGTCACGGTCACGAGACCCGCATTCAAAAGGGCAACATGCATCAACTCCACGTGGTCTTTTTGGCGAGATTCCTCAACATTTACCGCGTGGCATGATATATACCGACGAAACCAACATAGACACATACGAAGGACTTGGGGTGACAAGTGTAAGTAGCTTAAACACGACAGAGAGTCTGGTGATATACCCCGAAAGATGGACGTCGGAATTACTCACTTTGCTCCCAACAGCTGCGAGCAATACTTCGCAATACTTTGCACATGGCGAGAGCTCGACACCTACATCAGTGTCGCAAAATCGCGCATTAATCTTAGGCTCTAGGCACGATAAATGTCTGGTATATGTGACTTCACTGGACATCACGTGTGAGGGCCGATTGCGTTTAGCGACTGGTGGCGCAGAACGATATTCAACCGACTCAGAATTTTGCGATTCGCAAAACACTAACGCAGTATCCGTTACCGGTCCTACAACGTACCCAAAAGTTTGGATGTACAGCTCCCATAAAGAAATATACTGATCTTTATCACAAGTGGCAATGGAAAGACAGGAGCATTTCACGAGTATTCTCTCGTGCGCGGGGCTCTGAGTCAGGAAGGAGAGCACGCACCAGTGTCATAGAACAGCGCAGGAAGTTACATCATGCAGAAGAGCGAGGTAATGGCGGAGCCACATGATTACAGTTAACGCTGTTGCATGAGCTGCGCAGGAGCAGGTCTATGAAATAACGAGGAAAAATGAAGGAAAACTGTAGGATTAAAAGCGCAAGGAGAATAAAAAGGAAAAGTAGGTGAAATCAACGGAAGGCAATCAAAAGAGGAAAAAGGTTAAAAGCTGTAAGCCAAAAGTGTCAAGCCCATAGTCAAGAGCTTAGTGAGCAAATGAAGTCCTAGATTCACCGAAAGTTATTTCTAATACAGTGCAACGAGATGTGTTGAACGACCTCCCACTGTAACCTGATTAGTGTGTTATGTGTAGTTCTGAGATATACGGGAAGACCAAACTGTAGCAGATTATATTGGACAATCATGATACTAATGGGCTAATGCTCTAGTAAATGCGGAGATGGCAAAAGTTCAAAAAGTGCTTTCCAGAGGTATGATGTGAACGCGCAGCACGTGCCTGAACTATTGAATTAATCAAATAAAAAATTTCCATTTAGAGAGTATATATATATATATATATATATATATATATATATATATATATATATATATATATATATATATATATATATATATATATTAACGACTGTCTACGAAAAGACATAGAGCAATGGGACTAAAAGAAAGGTACAAAAATCGTAAAACACAACACATCGGAGTCCATGGCTTCGTTAGAGGGCGTGATACTACCCGGACACCCAAGTCAAAGTAGGGTGTTGAGTTAGAGGACATCACCCCGAGCCTTTGGCTGAATAGCTTGCCCACCAGGCAGCGGAACGAAATCAGGGAATCGCGCCCATTGGGAGTCGGTGACCGATTTCTCAGTTCACACGCCTTTCGTTTGTTCATTTGTCAAATAGGGGCCCAACGCTCCCCAGAATAACAGCATAAAGTTGCTGGAATACAATACTTCGCCAGGATGAAGTAAAGGACAGTGACTTTATTTAGTGGTGAGTCACATCCGCCACATCACAGTGTTGTTAAACGGACAAATGTAGCTTTGTATAGGCAAAAACCCATTACATCCTGGAACACCGCCGCCGAACCATTTTGATGGAACGGGGAAACCCGGACCACCCAGCTGGCAAAACGCGGTTGTTCGGCAAGCCAGCGTACACCAATAGCTGATCAGCGATGAACCCAAATAGATCACGTTTCCATAAGTCACAAGTAGCGTGCTTCCATGCTGGATTGTCGCTCGTTCTGCAGTACTTGCGTCGACTCTGATCATGCCTTGGTATGCTGTCGCTTTTCCATGACCTTTACCGAGAGGCGTATCAAGCGTCTCCCTCGATTGGCAATTGAGAAGTTCTCAGGCAAGCCTACCAAGATGCTCTGAGTATCGAACTTTAACTCTCTTGTCACACAGCTTTAATCGAATAGGATTTCGGCCGCCATTCACTGTGGAGAGGTCTCCGCTTGCAGCACTATCCATCGTTACCACCCCAGTCACCTGATATCCGAGGTCAGTGAGCCTACTGGCTCTGAGCACAGTGTTATCAGGCGGGCTATAAGGCGCGAACTAAAGCGGAGTCTGCGTGCTGACAAGGAAGCCTAGTGGGATCGCAGCGTTCAAGAAATTGAGAAAACAGAAGCAGTAGGCAATTACCGCAAGCTCTTACAACTGCTCCGCACTACTGGTCCCAGGAAACCAGGCGTCAGCAAGACAATCAGAGGCAGCGCGGGTGTCATGATTCACAATAAGGAGCGCCGTGTGGCTCGTTAGTCGGAGCTATTTCAAGATCACTTCAGCTGTCCCAGTGTTTCCGGATCTCTTGCTAGTCTGATGATGCAGGATGAGTCATGGACCGTTAGTTTAGAGGCTCCGTCGGAGGCTGAGGTCCGAAACGCGATCGCAACCCTTAATCGGTTTCGTGCTACTGGTCCGGATTCCCTCCCACCCACACTATTTAAGGATGGTGGTTAAGTCATCTGCAAAGCACTGACCTCACTATTCGAACAGCTCTGGAAGAGACCATACCGACAGTGTCAACAACAGCGGCACTAGCCTAACGACCATAGTGACTAAATTACTGGCCTTGTTTCTCGTTCGTCGCCTTACTGCGAAACGGGAATCCCGGAGTAGGGTAGAGTACGCAGGCTTCAGCCCGGAACGTGGCTGTATAGATCACTCTGCGACAGGTGCTTGAACAGCGCCACACGTAGGGCAGGCCAACAATAGCTGTCCCTAGATTTCAAGAGTGCATTCGACAAAGTCGAACGATGCATCCAGTCCGGACTACTTGTGCCGAAAAGTGTTAGCAGGAAATAGGTGAACATTTTAATCGTTTTGCACTCGAACATGACAGGCCGTGTCATGACCTACAATGAATTGTCGGATGCCTCTCGACGACTAGTGGCGTTTTTCAATTTTCCATTTCCGTTCAATTTCGTTTTGTACATGGAATGTTCCCAAGCGGAGCCTCAAGATGGAAGCGTTGAGATGCTGCCTGGTGAAAAGCTAGTTGATCCTGATTATGCGGACGATATTGTCCTGCTTTTTATCGACGTTGGAGCGGCGCAATCAATCAATGGCATGCGCTACGCACCTGCAAAGTACAAAGTGTTGCAGGACCACCAGCCACTTGATTACCCTTGACCCTTGATGGTGAGAAACTCGACAACTTCACCTACCTAGGTAGCTGCATCGGCAACAATGCGCGCAAAAGCTAGGAATTGTTTTTTGGCGTCAGAAAAGGATTTCCCTTCGTCTAGGAGGTCGTGTACACAAAGTCAGAGTGAGGGCCGTCCTACTAGTGAGACTTGACCCCTTCGATATGAGGACCTGCAACGTCTTTAAGTCTTGGATCATCATTGTCTGCGGAGCATTGCTGGTGTTGGGTGGCACCAGCGTGTCCGCAACGATGTGTGTAAGCTAGTACAAAACAGTGACAATCATGGTAGTTCCTCGGGACAGCAGATAGCACTGAATAAGTTGCGTTGGCTTGGCCATGTACTATGTATGCCTGATCACCGTTACTGAGAAAGAATTGATTTTGCCTGCCAGATGTAGGGTGGCGCAAGGTCCGAGGTGGGCAGCGAGAAATGAAGTCGATGACGACCAACCTCGGTGCCATCGGTCTGCCTCGTTTCCCAGGCCGTAGTCCACGAGACTCGCGTTGGGCTTGGCTCTAGACATGTAAGGACATAACTCACAGTCAGCAACAGTTGCGCGGTTGCTGTCGTGTCCTAAACGAACTGCCTGTTCACAGCGTGTTTGATGCCGAGTTATCTGCAGGATCATGGCTGATTATGACGCGGGTCATTGAAAGCCGCAAAGAATCTGCCTCGTCGAAGCCGTCTTATCTTTGTACGATAGCCGGATGTTTGTGAGCGTATGTTGTTGACAAGATGCACGCACTTTGACCGAGTTTTCGTTTAAAGTATTGAAGTTTTACGCCAGGTCACCCTTCTCTCTTCCACAGGTCACGGCAACGAAGCATCAGTCTAAATGGTTGAAGTACTGCTATTAGTAATGATGACTGTCAGATGCTGAAGAACCCAAACCACATTTGCCGCCCGCTGATGGAGCCGTATCACATCAACCTAAAAGGGCACTTTGAAATTGACAATACAGTTTAGCCGACTCGAATGTCATGAAAATGTTTTTTCACTTGGAGTGTTAGCGGCGGAATGCTCTCCCAACTTATGGCATTTCTGTCCCCAGCTTAACGTAAGTTAAAAAAACGACTTGACGAAGGATTGTCACATTCGCACTACACTATGTAACTTGTGTTAACCAGGGGGTTACGTAACGCAAGCAAACGGTGTTTCCAAAGTTCCCACCGGTGGATTTATACTTTTACCACGCAAAAATCACGGCCCTTCTACGCACGTATATGGTGATTGCAACAAGACGCTTTTTTACCTCATCATGAATATTTAGTTTCATAATAATTTCCATCCCACGGGACTTGTTAAAAATAGTTTTTCACTCGTACCACACCATTTTTCCAATTACTGTAAAAGATGCAAATCTTGGCTATACCCTCAATAATGGATGACGCACTCTTTAGCAAAGTATGGTTGCGAAGATTACCAAGTTAAATGCGC